ATTCAAGATAATAATAGCTAAAAATAAATAAAGTTTTTTTAACTTATCAGTGAATGAAAGATTAATTATAAATAAAGATATCAATACTCATCACTTATAATGAAATGATGATTACACTTAGTCTATAATAATAAATAAATTGATATATTAACTAATTTTGAAAAAATTTAAATTAATTAATAAACTTGATAAAGAAATATACTATAAATAAAATCTATTAAAAAAGTTAATCATAGATTTAACTTTTTTATTTAAAGAACTATATGAAAAAAGAGTAAGAAATTAATTTATTAATTTAGTAGAAGTGTCAAAATCAGATCATAAAATTATTTAATTTAATATATAATTAGATGATAATAATATAGTTGAAAATTTATTATTATTTAATCAATATAACTTTAAAAAAGCTCAATGAACAGAATTATAAATCATATAAATATCTTGAAAGAAATAATTAAGAAAATTTTTCATAAGATATTAATACTAAATTATCAAAATTTATATTAAAAAATAAAATATTATTAATAACTAATATTTTATTATTATCAAGTATCAAAAATAGTATATTTAAAAAGAATTAATCAAACTATTTAAAACTCTAATAATTTAAAACTCTGATTGATAAATATTAAAGAACTAGTTAAATCTAAATAAAATTAAAATAAAAAGTTGATATCTATAAACATATATAAAAATATTAAAAATAACTACTTTTCTAGTATTAAAAGATTAAAAACTAAATACTAAAATAATTTTCTTAAAAATATAGAAAATAAAATTTAAAGAAGTAGTAAAGTTTTTTATATTAAATGTAAATATCAAAATCAAGATCATACTACTAATATATTTCAAAAAAAATATTAAATATTTATAAGAGTTTTATTTTTAAAATTAATAGAATCTAAAGAATATATTTCTATAAATAAATATCATGATGATAGAACAAAGTAAAAGTGATTTAACTTAATAAAATATGAGTTAAAAATAGCTATTTTTACTAGTTCTATTAAAATAGTAGTTGAACCTGACTTTATAAATCATTTTATAATATAAAAAAAATATTTTAAGTTAAAAGAAAAACTTTTTATATTTTTTTCTTTTTGATAAAATATGAATATTATTTAGTATAATAAAAAGAGGTAATAGAAGTTATTCTAGTAAAGTTTAATAAAAAATTATCAATTTTTAAATTCTATAGAGTTATTCTCTATTTAATTATTTAAAAAAGATTTTGAAAAAAATTATTAACTTTAGATTTTTTTTCTAGCTACTACTACTGATTTATTGTATAATAATTAAATAAATAGCAGAATGTAAAATTCATCTATAGATGTAGTTTTATCAGCTATTCATAATATTTAAATATATAAAAATAATAATCTGATTTTAACTATTACTTTTATTAATATAAAGAATATTTTTAATTATACTTTAAAAAATAAAATAAAAACTGAATTAAAATTAAAACTATAAATATATCTTTTATTAAAAAATTATTAAGTACTATATTATTCTGAGATAAAACTTTATAAATATATATATTAATTATATTTTATTAGTTAAATCAATTAAATAGTTAAACTCTAGTCTAACTAAATAAATATCATAGTTACTGACTGAATATACTTTAAATAAAGAAAAAATATAATAATAATAAAAATATAGTTAATTATTTTCTTATTATATAAAATTTAATCATATTTATTACTTTTTCTATCTGTATTAATAAGAACTGAGTATTTAATATAATGATATATTATTTAAAACTTCAAAACTGCTATTTTAAATATTATAATCATAAACAGATCAAGTGCAAAGATTAGTAAATTATAAATAATTGATTTAAAATTTTAAAAGATATAATTTATTAAGTATGAAATTCTGTTAGAAGATATATATAACTTTAATAAAACTGAATTTACTCTAATAGTTTATGCTATTATTAAAATAATTATTAATGATAAGTACTTCAGAAGAGTAAAGTTTTTATATTCTAAAAATTATGAATAA